TAGGTATTTCCACACTAACATTTTAAATATGTATTATGCATTCCTATCATATATAATGTATCATTTATGTATCATTTATCATTTCATAATGTATATATAATTATTATTGTAGATTCTCAGAAGAAAAACAAAGAGGATCCTGACCATGATGAACTGTTTGTGGATGACGAGTCAAATGGTCTAACACTCATTCCTTCTTTAAATCTTGGTTTTAGTGTTTGTATTTTTATTGGCTTGTTAATTTTGATCAAAGATAAGTTTAACAAGCTGCAATGTAGAACTAAGATTCCACAAATTTGTTTGTTTGTATGTTGTTTAACGTCCCTCGAGAGAATTTTTCACTCGTATGGAGACGCCACAACTTGCCGGTGGAGAGCTGCAAATTTTGTCCTATGCTCGGCACTTACGGCCATTGAGCAGTGAGGGATCTTTAACGTGCCAGCACCTACTGCGACACGGGACCTCGGTTTATACGGTCTCATCCGAAGGACCAGTCTCCACGTCCCACAGTGGGATTCGAACCCGCGACGTAAGGATCAACTCCTTACTTCGCGACTGTAGAGCAGACGCTCTAACCACTGTGCCACGCGGGCGACTAATAAATACATAAAATACTTGGTAAAGGTCACATATATTTCGACATTAGCTTGAAATTTAAAGTAATAAAATGCGAATTCAATTTAAAGCAGCAGCACTTTCCATAAACTGCAAGTTATGTAGAAACAATCTATTACTTCAATTTTAACTTGGGTATGCCTTTGCGATATTGAAATTAACAAACAGTACACATTACATGCATTTATCAAGTGACTATCAAATAACGTGACCAAACCAAATTCAGTACAGGGCCTGGTATACAATGTTATTTCCAAGAATGGAAAAGTCATAAGATAATATAGTACCTTAACAAAATTAAAACTCATTTTAAAAAGGTATGTATTTATGCAAGTTTATATTGTGTTGATTTCTTCGAAGTACGCCTTAGCAGTGCTGCGTTCTTATGTTTTGTGTCTGAACAGCATTGATGCGTGATAATCAAAATGATTTGATGCGTATAGTCGCAATGATTTCCAATATCGTCAAAATGCCTAGAAATATAACTAATAGAAAGTCATTTTGATATGATATGATAATCAATTTGAATACAATGACAGGAATACAGTCCAAATAAAATCTTTGGTCTACTCATGGTGACTTTTAATGAGTCACAGTAGACTATCGAGTTAGTGTGATTTTTCTCGAGTCGTCAAAATGAACTCAACTTATTGTCAAAATGACTAAATACACCCTCATCTGGAGGACAATCAATCTGGTTATTTTTTTAGGTCATGGTTACTAATTTAGTTTTCTGTGAGTTGATTGGTCTACTACTTGTAAATTATTTAGGCTCCAGGGGTGTGCAATTAAAAAAAATTACACACTAGCCCACGGGCTAGTGGCAGCAATAAAGTTACTAGCCCCAAGTAAAAAGTTACTAGCCCAAATGTAGAGGGCCCGGGGAGGGGGGGGGGGGGGTAACAACTAATATTAAAAGAAAATAGTTTATTGTTGAAAAAGTCAGGGTTTTAATGTCATTCTTTTAAAATTAAAGTTTAATTCTCACTAAGTTTAATTCTCACTAGTAAAATTAGATCATGTATAAATAAATAATTATGATAGTAAATAAAAACGAATTCAAATAAATTATCTTATCTAAAATGAAATGAAAATCATCTTTTTTTTTTCATCTTAAATCATTAAATTTGCTGGAAATATATTTTATGTAAACCACATAACGATTATCTTTCAGTGGATTGAGTGGTTGCAAATAATTTAATGAGATATCTGCATGTGTATTTACCATAAACAGAGGAACAGAGGAAATTCGGATTAGATAAAAGCGATCGTTTTTGAAAGTAAATGTCAGGTGGTATGCGAAATTGATAAGATTATGGAGATTTACGAAAAATAGGAGCATGCTGCCGAAATTTTTTCATTGCTTGAGAATTTAATAGCAAAAAATGAGTGAAAATACCGATATTGATTTTCATGTATTACATTGGTAGTTTTAATTTTGACTAGCCCAAGGGGCTACCTCCGTGCAGAAAACTAATAGCCCGACCCCAAAAACTGGTAGCCCCGGGCGTCGGGCGATGCTAATTGCACATCCCTGGGCTCCCTCCTTCGACACATTTCATTTTGAAAAAAAAAAAAAATCTTTAACAGCAGTGTTTTGAGATTCGCTTGGATCAAAATGAAAAAAGGATCCTACGATTGTTCAGTGGAGAAGACTCTTCTTTGATATTGAGGGTTGAAAAAGATTCCACAACGGCGAATTGGATGCCGAATGTTGAAAACAAATACAAGAGATCGTTCAAAATGGTACCTATGAGGTTGAAAGATAAAACTTGCACAGTTACTAGAGGACCTAAGTATCAACAATTAAAGAAGATATGAAAGGGGAAGAGAAAGTACCATGGATTTAACGTTAAAATAATGCAAGTAATATGTGGTTGTTTAAATTGGCAACTCTTTTTTTGCGTTAGTTGCAGAAATTGAAGATAGTGCTTTTTCTGCTCGGCTTCCAAATGAAGCAACAATTTTCACAGCAGAAGCAAAAGCCACACAACTTGCATTAGAATATATTAAATTATCTAGTGTCATTGTTTTTACAATATTTTGGGACTCTCTCTCTTGTTTACAATCCATAAAAAATATGGACATTAATATCCCATTTATTTTGGATACTTTCATCCACCCAACACGGTAAAATACCGTAAATCTGGAAAATTTTACCGTAGATAAATTTTTAGCAAATTTACGCTTGCATTGCATTCGCGAGAATATTTTTTTTTTTTTAAATCAACAACAAAAAATATTAATAAAAATTCTGCTGACAGCTGATGTCTTTTTTTTTTAACCCGGTGAACAGGTGTTCGTAAGCAATGGTCATTTTAAGAAATCTTTTTATACTACAAGCAAATTACCCATGACAATAACTACATTCAATATCGTCTGATGGTTTGACAGGCAGTATGTCTCTTTTAAATTATTTCTCCAAGAAAGAAAGGCCTGTTGTTTTATCTAACAACAAATCCCTAGCACGACAAAACCTTACCGGGGAACATAGTCTCGTGTATAATGAAATTCAACGAAAGAAAGGAGATGGCATGTACATGCAAAGTTCATTCCACATGCGTAACTTACAAACTGTTATGAAAATTTTAAACCCTTTTTATTTTAACGCCAGTGACAATTCGCAAAATTTTAAAACGTAAAAATGAATCGACACCTTTTTGACCCAGATTCGCAAAAATAATCGACATAAAAATTTCCAGATTTACGGTAATTGACTTTTGTTGGATTCCAAGACATATTGGTATCCCTGTAACACCAAAGCGTTTCAAAATTCCTTATACAGATCTTACAATCTGATTAAAATCAGATCCTCGATGCTCCTTTTTTAACGATATGTCGCTTACGAGGATCTGAAGAAGCCCAATAGAGGGTCATCTCCTGGTGACCTGTGAGATTTTAATATTCATGAAAAATCTGACCAATCAGATTGCTTGTATTTTATCGACATTCGGAAATGTAAAAAAAATGGCGGACATAGAACTAAAAGTTGCGTTAGAAAAAGTATTGCCATTCTTTCACATTAATGAATTAAAAAAGGAACAAATGCAGATATTAGAGGCAATCCTCAAGAAAAAGGATTGCATAGCCGTACTTCCGACCGGCTACGGAAAGTCTCTTCCGTTCCAAATTGCCATTTCTGTAAAGAGATTTTTACATCGCGATGATGCAGACGAAAAAATCATTGTGTGTTGTCCCCTCGTCGCATTGATGAAGGACCAAGTGACAAGACTTAACTGTCTTCCGGGCATTAAAGCAAAATTCAGAGGCAAATTATATAATTTTAAATCAAATATTGTACGGTTGTACAGCATACAAATTTACAAATTTCTTAGGAGCGCTGAATTAACTATATATTAACTGTTTAATACGTTGGAATGTTTCTTGAGTGATCTAGAAAAGGGATGTCCGGACCCCCTCCCCCTCCCTTTTAAATTTCAAAGTTGTTGCACATCGTATTAAAGCTATCGAAAATAGCCACTCACCAACCCCTACCAAACAAAAATTATTTCAAACTATCCCCTACCCTTGTAAAATTTCGTAATCTGTGCATGAATTTGATTTCAAGATAAACAACAATTTTTAGTTTCATAAATTTGTAATTCACATAGATAGGATTCAATTAATTAATTTGGAAGTTAGTTGTCTTGGCTTTACATGTTTAGAAATTTCAAGTACTGCATGACCATCATATCATAACTAATTGAATGATGTGTAGACCTACAATTTTTAAATATAAGTGATGAAGAGGAAGAGGGTTTCATTTCCAGTGGAGAGTTTGATTATTTGTTTGCTTCTCCTGAAAGTTTAGTTGGTGATAAATTCTTCAGAACAGTTCTTCAGAATTTCAAAGTGTCAAATATTGTCATTGATGAATTCCATACAATCTCAGCTTGGTAAGATAATACAATGTACATGTAATTTAGAAATAGAAAAAAAAGCTTGTTGCTTGATTTTCCCCTTTCCATGACCATGCATCAGAATCTTGTTTTTTGTTAAGTATATCTTACAGGGGAGATGATGACAATGGAAAAGAAGCCTTCCGAAGATGGTTCCATCATGTTGGAGAGCTTCGATCTTTGTTTCCATGTGCATCAATAGTGGCATTGAGTGCTACATGTACAAAGAGGATTTCTAAAAAAGTAATGAAAATTTTGAATATAGCCGAGGATGCAGTTCAAATATTTTCTTCACCAGATAAACAAAATATTAAGCTTGTTGTTGTAAAAATCCCTAATACTCTTGAGATTGCTATGTCATGGCTTATAGATGCTCTCAGTGAAAACAAATTACCAAGAACACTACTTTACTGCAATTCTATTAAAACTGCTTCAAGTTTGTATAGTTACATAATAACTGAAATTCAAGACTGTAAATGTGTGGAAATGTACCATTCAGAAACTCCTTTAGAAAAGAAAGAAATCATTCTTAAAGCTATTCAGAATCCTGATAGTGATCTACGTCTAGTAATTGCAACAAGTTCCCTTGGAATGGGTGTTGATTGTGCAAAATTTTACAATGTTATTTTGTATGGACCACCAAAAACTGTTGTCGAGTTAATTCAGGAAATTGGAAGAGTGGGTAGAGATGGACAAACATCAACTGCATTATTGTTATACAATTCATTTAATCTGTGCAAAGTTGAAAGTGATGTGAAAAATATAATCAAGAGTGATAAATGTAGACGTTTTGCATTACTTCAGCCATTTCTAAATCAACAAGAACTCCATGATCTGGGTAAAAATACAGGATCATCTCTGTGTTGTGACATATGTGCCAAAGTCAATCCAGATCAGTCATCATTATCTAATATTGAGAAACTACTGACTATAAACTTTAATGATGATGAAAATGTTAACCTTGCAAGTGACAGTTCAGATGACACAGTTTCATATATTATGTTGAAGATGAATTTTTTGACCATTCTTTTCCGTAATTATACTGAATAATAAATGTTTTAATTTTGTTTTATTCTTTGTGACCCTTTCATTAGTTACAACCAGCACGTAACATAATCACTGACCAATTAGGCCAAGATAAATAAATAGTGTGTTCCATATTTTTATTTTTCCTAATTTTATTGAGAAAAAAAAATTATTTCATAAATTAATGTCCTTCAATAAACATTTTAAATTATTTTATGAAAAATGGCAATATTATTTTGATGTCCATGAAGAAACACACCATTCATTTATCTTTTCCTTATCAGCTTATTTTAACAGTTGACCACTTAAACATGTTTAAAAAAATTCCTGTGATTATTCTTTCATTAAAAAGTTCTTTGTCACTAGGTGAACTTTAGGAAATTTGTTGTTTGTCCTCTCCCAACACTGGATATTGGTAAACTTTAGGTCTGTTGGTAGAGAAATTATTTTTACTCTTCAAAGTTGTACAAAAAAATATAGATATCTGTTTTTTAAAATAAAACTTGCATGCTCACATTGTAAAGAAAATAATCCGAGTCAGTCTGTTGGGGGAGGGCAAACAAACGATTTTTTGGTGACCTTACTTGAAATGCATGTAACGAAAAAAGCATGTGTTTCAAATATGTTTATTTCGCAGTCTGTGATAAGCAACTACTGGTTTATGTCTTACAATTAAAGTAGACAGTCCGTTAAAACATTCATCATAAATTTTGGGGTCTTTTTTATGCCTTCACATTTCAACTTTCGACCATCAACAACGGAGAATGCATTTATTTCTGCAAGTTCTTTAAAAACCTTTTGAACATCTTCCAAATAAGAAGGTACAGTATGAAAACCCTTCCTACCAGATATATCACAAATCACATCAAAATGTTTGGTTGAGTTAATAATATGGGGGAATTCCTTGGAGTGTGCTAAAATACTCTCCTTGGTTTGGAAGCCAGAACAGGCAAATTTGCTGTCTCTATTCAAAAGTTCAACATATTCGTCTAAGGCCAAGTTGTTGTTTTTTCCTCTCTGTAGATTAATAAATCTGTTTGCTGTCAGGCGTTGTTTTAGTTCCTCGCTAAGCAACCCCTCCGTCATTGCAACCAAATGGATAGAACCTATAGCATACTTCGTTTTGTTAGTATAGTTATAAATAGGAAGCTCATATTTAGCTGATTTAATGCTCCTTACACCATCTCATCTCCCATGTCAACAGCATCATCCAAATTCTTGTGTAACAGTGAAAGTTTAAAAAGTAGCAACATGTATCCATTTAGTTCATCTTTACTTTTCTTTTTTTCTTTCTTTTGTTTCTTTGACACAGTAACACCATGCATTTTTTCTTCGTGTGCTTTCAGACTGCCAACATACGCATAAGTTTTTTCACAATGATGACATTTCACTCTACCTTCATTGAAATTTGACACCCAATAATTGTCCGGATGATTTTTGTCGGTCACACAATCTCTTAACATGGACATAATATCAGGAGAACCCTCAAAAAAGTATTTTTCAATGATCCTTTCACATATGTCATTTATCCATGAGATTTTGTCTGCATCTGTATACTGGTAAAATTGTTGAGGCAGCGGAATGGAATCTGATAAATTCTCAAGATCCATTTCTTTCAGAAATAAATAACAGCAAATGGCATCTAAGATGGTGTAATATAAATATTTGTATGAACGGTAGGTATTTTTCACATCCCCTTTAACACTTCTGTGGTTCAATAAATTTCTGAAGTAATAAACTGTTCCTCTGTCTCCTGCAGATCCGGTATTGTATGTAAGTTTTGCTATTTCCTAAAATAAAATTGAATTTTCTGAAGTTATATTTTTTAATCTAACTAATTTAAGAATTCAACATATGATTAGGAAATGTTTATCTAATCTTAAATTTTAAGATTGATGAAAGGTTTCATGAAGGGTAGCAAACCATTATCTAAATAAAATTATACATAGATAAGGTACTTACTTCTAAAAAATTCATTAATCTGTGGAAATCCTCGATTTTGGATATGAAACCTTCTAATCTATCATCAGACGTGTTACCATTAAGCATGGCTTCCTGTGCACACTGAATGCGCTCATCAGTAAGCCGGTCACCTGTTTTAACAAACATAATTAACACATTACTTTTACAGTATCTCATACAAATTTCAATCAGCACAAGTGGAGCATTCCTTGCAACAGAATAGGTTTTCAAATATGTTGTGTATCAAATTAAACACATTTGTTAATCATGTTAACTTATACATAAAATTTGATATGTAGCCAAATGATACTCAATAGTATTGATTTTCTCAAGAAATAATTCTTTCTGAAATGAATATAGTTTGGTTTATTAATACAATGCCTCAGAATTATGTCTAATGATTCTAAGTGCTAAGATTTTATTTCAAACATACAAACACACAAACAAACCAACTTGCATACAGTTAGCAATGTTCTATCCCTTTCCATTAAGTTGTATGAGGGTATAATAATTGACCACTTATACTTACCACCAAAAAGAACAGGCTCACAAATCTCTCCATCTCTGTGAGGAACATACTTCTGCTGTAATTCTTTTAAGAGCTTGATGACATCCGCTGTTTTGGTTTCATTACAGTCATACAGCCCTAACGGATACTGAAATTTGAAAGCATGTTAATTTATATGATAAGTTTATAACCATAATATCAGCATACCCACAAATCATATCAACACCATATTCCTATCATAAACAAGAATACTTTGTGAAAAATTAAATCACTTGCATTGTTTTAATTTGACAATAAATTTAAATCCACTATAAATTCATACCTAGTATTTAATCTTTGCATTTTAACCTGGAATACTTACTTGTACTGTTTTAATTCCTGCTTGATCACTATACTTGTGTGGCAGATGTTTGGGATATATTTTGTCCAAAAGTTTTGAAAGGTGGGGAATATTCCTGATCACAGATGTTGCAGTAATAAAAACCAATTCTTCATTCAACTTTTCTTGTTCTTCAAGTGATGGCACGAATTTTTCAAAAGAGATGTCTGCATATTCTAGGTCTCTTTCTGGAGTTACCACAGGTATTTGCACTCTCTCTACAGCAATCAATGCATTAAACAAATGTATGGATTGTGTCTGGTTCTGGGAGGTCCTTCAAAATAGAACAAGATGTGTATGGTCACTATGATTCGTAAACTTACATTATTATAAATAACAAACCAAACTAATTGAAATTATATCTATATTTGCTTCCTGATTTTTGATTTTTAAGATATTTAAAAATAGGGAGCACATAGATATAATTTTAACTAGACTGAAATTTCTACTAAAGTGATGCATGTACCTATACTGTTTATCAACACAAACTTTGTATAATAATGTTCTATATTTTTTCCAGTTTTGATTTGAACAAAACCCAATACATATCCAATAAATAAGACACAAAATTTACCTGTAGGATGGCAGTATTTTTTTATCCCAATTGTCACCAATTAACTGGTATTTTGTTGTATTTTCTTGGCCCTCCTCCCAAGACTTCTTCAGTGCTATGACCTCTGCATCTAAATTTGATATCCAGGTTTCTAACTTGCTGTGCATGGATTTACTTGTCACAGTCATTCCGCACTTGGCTAATCTGTCAATATCCTAAAAAAAAAAGCCTTGAGTTATTACAAATATGTAAACACAATTTATTAAAATTAATAACATAATCTAAGCAAAACATATTAATCACTTCATTTCAAGCATTGTAAATCTCTTTATCTGCATTGTCTTTAAAAACATTCACAACATAAACAGACAAAGATAGGGTATGTTCATTGAACACTTCCTTTGAATGAAAAAATTTACCCTCTGTGTACATCCTCCATAAGCCGAAATGAAACCGAGCAGGTAATGCACCGATGACATCTCTTGATTACGTCCGTGAAATGCTGAAGCTACTGTAAGCATTAAGTTTATGAATTTCCTCTCACCAATGGCAACTGGAACATCACTAACTGCTGACTGAATAACTCTCAGGGTGTTTGGTGCTTTGATGTGAAGCTCCCTGTAAAACTTATCCCAAGAAAATTCTAATATACTGTTGTGGTCTTTTTGCTGGAGAATGCTTCCTGAATTTCTTTTACAGAGTTCTTTTGATTCACAACTAATGATGTGTGACACTGCTGGAACAACCTCCTTCCTGTAAGCTGTGGATACTACAGCAATTATAGCATTTTTGGCATTTCCTGAGGACCTACCATTAAAAATAGCTCTACATATTTTCTGTTCTGTTTCATTTCTTACAAGCTCTGTTCTTCTTCCACTTGGGTATGCAATGGTTATCTGTAGAAAGAAAAAAGAATTTACTTACAAATGGATATCATATATAATCTAAACATACATATTCATTTATCAATAAATATTGAAGAAGTAAAAACAATAACATTTATAAAAACAAAATAAATTAACAAGTGATTATCACTTATTCATGGTTATACAGGAATAGCAATATTAAGATATTTCTGGAATACATTCAACTTTTTCTTGCTTCTTGACTTTCATCATTCAAAATGTAATTTTTTTTGTATTATTTTTAATCTTCACATGGAATTTGATGATAAAAATACCTTAGTTTCATCTATGCTGGATGGTGTTTATATCTGAAATAACAACTGCAACAATCTAACTCTGGAAGAAAAAAATAAGCAATATAAAAAAAAAAACAAACAAAACTGAAGATTTGTTAGTATTCATTAATTTAAAAAAAAACAAACGAAACAAAACAAAAACAAATCAGGCTGCAAATAATAGTGCTGTATTACAGTTATAATGATATCTGGATTGAGTTACAGGTTTTTTAATAGCTGACCTGCGCTGAATGCTCAAGTGAGCTTTTCTGATCATCCACTGTCTGTCGTCCGTCACCCTGTTCGTCCGTAAACTTTTCACATTTTCAACTTCTTCTCAAGACCCACTGGGCAAATTTTAACCAAAGTAGGTACAAAGCATCCTTGAGTAAAGACCTAGGGAATTTAAATTCTTAAAATGAAGGACCAAGTCCCCTCCAAGGGGAAATAATTAAGAAAAGACAAAGATAGGGTGGGGTCATTAAAAATCTTTTTCTCAAGAACCACTGGGCCAGAAAAGCTGAAACTTATGTGGAATCTTCCTGAGGTAGGGTAGATTCTAAATTGTTCAAATCATGGACCCTGGGATAGGGTGGGGCCACATTATGGAATCAAAGTTTTAAATTGAAATATATAGGAAAAATCTTTTTCTCAAGAACCACTGGCTCAGAAAAGATGAAACATAGGTGACAGATCCCTGAGGTAGTGTAAATTGTAAATTTATTCACACTTTGGTCCCCGGCGGTAGGGTGGGGCCACAACAGGGAATCAAAGTTCAATATAGATTGTATATGAAATTTTTTTTTTATTACATCATCTCAAGGACAGCAAAGCCATGATTAGTCAAATTAATATGGAAACAACTTTAGGTAGTGTAGATTCAGGTTTGTTCAAATCATGACCCCCCTCCCCTCCTAGGAACAAGGTGAGGCTACAATAGCCAATCAAAGTTTAAATAGAACTTTATGAGAAAAAGTCTTTAAAACTTCACTTCTCAGGAAAAATGAAACCATGATGAATCATTTTTTAAATGTGGAAGCACTCTTACGTAGTGTTTGTTTGTTTTGTTTTGTTAATTGTTTAACGTCCCTCGAGAATTTTTCACTCATATGGGGACGCCACCACTTGCCGGTGGAGAGCTGCAAATTTTGACCTATACTCCGCACTCAGGGCAATTGAGCAGTGAGGGATCTTTTTGGTGCCAACATCTAATGCGACACGGGAACTCGGTTTATTCGGTTTCATCTAAAGGACCGGTCTCCACGTCCCAGTGGGATTTGAACCCGCGAAGTAAGGATCAACTCCTTACTCTCTGACTCTAGAGGGAACGCTCTGACCACTGCGCCACGCCGGCGACTCTTACGTAGTGTAGATTCAAGTTTGTTGAAATCTTGAACCCCCAGGGATAGGATGGGATGACAATAGTAGATCATAGTTTTTCATATGAATTATTTATAGGAAAAGATTTTAAAAACCTTCTCTGAAGAACAGCAAAGCCATGGTTATTCTTATTTATATTGAAGTATACTCTGGTAGTGTAGATTCAATTTTATACATACCTTGGCCCCTGTATATAGGATGTGGCCACAAAAAGGTGAATCAAAATTTTACATAGGAATACACTCGTATATAGGGGACAAATCTGATGAAGAACAACAGCGCCAAAATGATTCAGGTGAGCATTGTGGCTAGGGATGCGCGATTTTATCGGTATACCGGTATATCGCGATTTTTTATTGCGTGATACGTATCGTGATATGTAGACTAAAATACCGGTATTTGACACAGAACTATAAATTCGGGAAATTATTCATTTATATGTTCAAACTATTGAATGACAACAACAGAAAGTGTAGAAAATGTTGAAAACAGATAACCCACTGCATCCAAACATGCTTTATATTAAATTAATAAAAAATTAAAAATAAAAATTATGTTTTTATAGCATATTTTAAAGAAATATTAAGGAAATTCATTTGAAATTGTATTGAAAATTGTATGTAAAAATATCATGATTTATCGTGATATTTTTAGGAAAAAATCGTGATATATCACGATATGAAATTTTTGCCGATACCCACCCCTAATTGTGGCCTCTTGTTTCAATTATTATTTCAAAATAATATCACCCATTGGAAAGTATGGGTATAACTGTAACATGAATGAATCTTAATATACTACCAGATGCAGAAATTTGTAGAAAGTAGTTAACACATTTGTGTATTTGTGTTTTTGTAAATATTTATTTTAGAACATGAAAGTTAATTTATTTCAAATATATATCTTGATCCCCCCAAAATATCGTGGATATGATAGGTATTGGGTGTTGAAGTGGGTTGATGTAAAATTGTAATATTAACATGGTAAACTGTTTCCAAAAAAAAAAACATCTTCTGAATTGAACGAATAATGAACAAGTAATTTAATTACTTACCTCAATTTCACCTTGATTGGCTTGAGGATTCACTTTCACATCCTGAAATTCTAGTGATCTCCGTACAGTCTTTGGCTTATCAATATCACCTGTATTAGTTATTTCTTTAAAAGGTGCTATATGGACAGGTATATAAGGTGCTATATGGACAGGTATATACTTAACAGCTTCTATATTTAATGTCTTGCCTTTTTTTGCTGACTGCGTTACCACTGGACTTCGTAGCATCCGTTTCGTAATAACCTTTGTTCTGGGAGAAGGTAGCTGTAGCAGATGTGTTTCATTCATTTTCCTAGCCATGCTACATATGTTTGCTTTTATGTTCTCGTTTTTCTGTTCAGATTTTATAACACTGTCCACACTTCTATAACATTTCAGGCACACGGCACTGTTGCTTGAAAAGTTGATACCAGTTATTTTATAAACATTTTCTACCCTCTCAGTGGTAAACCTGAGTTTCCGGTCAAAATATTTATGTAGTATGACCTCACCATTGTCTTTCTTTTCATACTGAATGAAAGAAAACCCGCAGAGAACACAAATATCACTGAGAGCACACGTTTTCGTCGGCGTAGCAGGCGCCGCCATTTTCTACTTTCGTTTTAAATCCTCATTCGTGTTGCATCGGGAGTTATTAATAAAATTTTGAATTCCGAAGATTTTACAGAGTCTCGCAAGTGGTCGTTTGATTGGATAATATAAAGGTCACCACAAGATGACCCTCTATTGGGCTTCTTCAGATCCTCGTAAGCGACATATCGTTAAACAAGAGGCCCAGGGGCCACATCGCTCACCTGAGCACTATGGCTAGGAAAAAGCAGAAATCATTTCAATCTTGAAAGGTTGAAAAGTTTAAATATAAAAGTGGTTGGGGGGGGGGGTGTCAGGAATTGAACAAATTTGAATCTACATTATCTGAGGATGCTTCCATTTAAATATGACCAATCATGGCTTTGCTGTTCTCGAGTAGAAGATTTTTAAAGATTTAACCTATGTATTCCTATGTAAAACTTTGATCACCCATTGTGGCCCCACCCGATCCCCAGGGGTCATGTTTAAACAAACTTGAATGTACACTATCTAAGAATGCTTCCATATAAATATGACCAATCATGGCTTTGCTATTCTTAACAAATTGTTTTTTTTAAGATTTTTACTATGTGTTCCAATGTAAAACTTTGATCGCCCATTGTGGCCCCACCCTACCCCCGGGGGTCATGATTCGAACAAATTTGTATGTACACTATCTGAGGATGCTACCATATAAATATGACCAATCATGGCTTTGCTGTTCTTGAGAAGAAGATTTTTAAAGATTTTTCCTGTATATTTCCTATGTAAAACTTTGATCGCCCATTGTGGCCCCACCCGACCCCCGGGGGTCATGATTTGAACAAATTTGAATGTACACTATCTGAGGATGCTACCATATAAATATGACCAATCATGGCTTTGCTGTTCTTGAGAAGAAGATTTTTACTATGTGTTCCTATGTAAAACTTTGATCGCCCATTGTGGCCCCACCCGATCCCCGGGGGTCATGATTTGAACAAATTTGAATGTACACTATCTGAGGATGCTACCATATAAATATGA